CCCTAGGGCGGAATCGTGAAAAGTGAAAACTTTCACGTGAACTTGTTAGGCATGAAATTTGTGAGCGGAAATATAGGGAATTATAATGCAGTGATCCAGTAATACCTATATCGTTTTATAATATGTATCTATGGGTTAAATGAATTATTTTAATAAGTGTGAGCAACGTTTGATATTGGAAAATAAGGTAATTATATAAAATACCGCTCCCACCTTTGATTTTGATGAAATTAGACTTATTCGACGTGTTTTTGCATGAAACTGAAGAATCTGGCAGAAAAACCGTTGCTCTGCCCCACGAACCGAGGTATATGTAACGTTAAAGTTAACGACTATGGGGTTAGGAAATCTGTTATATTCTAAATAACAGTCTAACAATTAAATCTCCAGAAAAATAAAAAAACAATATATGTAAATAATAGTATATTTAATTTCTACAATGCATTATGTTTACATGCATAATTATTAGAATTTGAATCGCGTCGAATGAGCCTAATTAGATCAAAATCGGAGGTGAAGACCGTATTCTAAATAATTACCGAATTTGGATAATATTACTTATTTGTACATATTAAATGATTGGAAATGAATTTCATGTGATGTGCATAGTGGATCATTTATCTTTAACATTCGATGAACAAGAATAATGTTGCATTAAATTATTTCGGTTTGGATTTGGTTTGTTCCACTCTTATTCTCATACATAATTATAAAAACTTTTATGGATTTTTAATTTAGCATATATTGGCATAACATGGCTGCAGCTTGGTGGTTGTTGCAACTGGCAGAAGAAGAAGAAAGAAATTTACTGAAAATTCGAAGAAGACAATTACGTGATGCAAGTAATCCATTTAAAATTTTAGAATCGCAATTTATTCATTTATATCGGTAAGTAAAATTGTATTTCAATAAATAAAACTGAAACATAGACCATTGCATAATGCATTTCATAGAAAGAAAAGATTGTGATTGGTTGAGTCTCTGTTACTTTATAAATTATGCATTATGCAAAGGTTTATGTGTCCCGACATATAGTATTACTCATTTAATATAAATAAGTAAAGGAAAATAGAATTAATGGTTCGTATATTATTTAAATATTTATGGAATAATTTTAAACAAGATATTTAATACGCAGGTTAAGAAAAGATGCTACATTAGCATTATGCGATTTTATACGGCCTCATGTGCGAGCAACAGTAAGATTAACAGCAATTCCATTAGAATTGAAGGTAAAATTGCAAAGAAATACTATTATGGATAAAAATTTTAGATTTCCTTAAGTAGGTTTTACATTGGATGCAGATTGATCGCAAAATTATTGCGACAGCCAATCTGAAGCATCATCATCACTCCTTTTATCTCCTTTATGTGGAGCATAGGACGTCTACGAGTCTCCTCCATCTTACTCTATTTTGGGCAATCGTTTTTATTTCTGCCCAGCATTTTCCAATAGATTTAATTTCATTATCTATTGTTCTCCTCCAAGACATGGCAGGTCTCCCTCTTTTGCGCTTTCCTTGCGGATTGTATTCCATAGCCATGCGAGCTATGTTATGCGGATCTTTTCTTAGAGTATGGCCGATCCATTTCCATTTTCTGCGGCGGATTTCAGTGCCTATTTTTTCTTGCCTGGAAGAGCGCAGTAGTTCTTCATTTGTTGGTAAGTTTGGCCAGAACAGTCTCAGAATTCGTTGCAGACATTTGTTCACGAAGACCTGAAGTTTGTTTATCAGTCCATCTGTGTTTTTCCAGGTCTCGCAACCGTATAGCAGCACAGATTTGATGCAAGCATTGAATAAACGAAGCTTATGTATGTTAGACATCTTTGAGCTTCTCCATATTTTATTAAGTCTGAAGAAGGCTTGTCGGGCCTTGTTTATTCTTTTGCTAACATCGATGTTGGTTCCTCCGTCTTTGGCAATTACGCAACCAAGGTATACAAAGTCGTTGACTTCTTCGATTGTGCGTCCTTCAATGGAAATAGGTGTGCTTATGTTTGTTCCAATACGCATTATTTTTGTTTTGTTGGTATTGATCTTTAGTCCAACTTCTGCAGCGTATCTTTGAAGTGCTGAAATTCTCCCCTGTGCATCTTTGTGTGTATGAGATAGTAACACGATGTCGTCCGCATAGTCGAGATCGTCAAGTCGGCGAGTCAGCAGCCACTGTATTCCGCCTGTTGTTTCTTGATTGCATTTTTCCATCACCGTATCCAGTACCATTAAGAATAGCATCGGTGATAGAATGCAGCCTTGGCGTACACCTCTTCTGATTTGGAAGGAGGGGCTCAGTTTTCCTTTGAAGAGAACACCGCATTCCGCGTTATCATATAATTCTTTTATTAATCTTGTTATTTGGGCTGGTATTCCAAATTTTTCTAGTGTTTTCCATATAGCCGGCCAAGTCACGGTGTCAAATGCTCTTTCAAAGTCCACGAAAGTCAGATACAGTGGTGAGTTGAATTCTGCTGCTTGCTCCACTATAATTCGAAGGCTGCTTATATGATCTATGCAGCTGTGTCCCGGGCGGAATCCTGCTTGTTCTTTTCTCAATTTTTCATTGACGTGCGCTGTCATTCTCTCGCGGATGATTGACGCTAGAATCTTCGTAATTGTATTCAGTAGGGTTATTCCTCGCCAGTTCTTACATTCACGGAGATCACCTTTCTTTGGAATTGTGATGATTATTCCTTGTTTCCATTTCGCCGGGATGCTGCCTGTGTCCCATACTTCTGTTATAATGGGGGCAAGTGTTTCCGCCGCAAATGATGGATCAGTTTTAAGTAATTCCGGTGCGATGCCGTCACTACCTGCGGCTTTGTTGTTCTTGAGTTTCTTTATTGCTAATCTGATTTCAGCAACTGATGGTGACTTTGTGCTGATACGAGATGATGTTGTATAGTCTATGTCGCAGTTATCTATTGTTGGGTCGTCGTGTTTAAAGAATTCTACCCATCGATTAAGTTGTTGTTGTTCCGTAGTGAGAATATGGCCATCGCTGTTCTTAATTTGTGGAATGCTTGTAAAATGGCCGGTGATCCTCCTGATACATTGGTATGTTTTGCGCACGTCCTTTTGTTCCGCCGCCACTTCAGCGTCATTGATGATGTTTTCTTCGAATTTACGACGATCTCTTCTTGCCATTTTCTTAATTTGTTTTTCTATGTTGTTATATCTTGCAAGGGTTACATCACTTCGGACCTGGTTTAGTTGTTGATTTAATGTTCTTCTTTGTTCGATTAATTCCCAGGTTTCATTCGTGATCCACATTTTACGGGTACTGTTTTTGATCCCGATGACTTCATTTGCGGATTCTACGTATGCTTTTTGCACTAATTCCCATTTTTCCTTCGCACTTATTGTAGGACTGATATTATTAACTTTGGCTGTTACAGTTTCACAGAAGTTCCGACGTTCGCCTTTATTCTTGAATTTTTCGATATTAAATTTCTTTTGTTTTGTTCTTGTTGTTATTATATTCATTGTTCTTATGCGTATTTTTGCCACGACTAGCTTATGGTCGCTATACATGTCCGCACTACGCATTGTTCGAACATCTAGAAGAGACTTCAGGTGTTTCTTGTCAATTAGCACGTGGTCGATCTGGTTACGTGTTACTCCGTCTGGTGCTTGCCAGGTATATTTATGAATGTCCTTGTGCGGGAATCGCGTGCTGCCGATGAAAAGTCGGTTGGCCATGCAGAGATCAATTAATCGCTCGCCGTTGTTATTGCGTGCTTCTCCAAGTCCATGGCGACCCATTATTTCATCGAGGTTGTTATTATTATTGCCGATTTTCCCGTTAAAGTCACCCATGACAAGTTTGATGTCTCTTTTGTGCGTTGAGGCGATTGTGGACTGCAGTTGGTTGTAGAAATGATCTTTTTCGCTGTCGTCTGCTATTTCCGTTGGTGCATAGCATTGAATGATTGTTATATTGCGATTTTTGGCTCGGAAACGAGCGGTTATTAATCGGTCGGAGACTGGATTCCACTCCATTAATGATTTTTTAATTTTAGTGGATATAACTATTCCAACTCCATTAATGTGGGTGGTTGAATTGCCCGAATATATCATGTAGTGATTGTCTGACGTTGTAATGTCCCCGCTGTTCTTCCACCGCACTTCGCTGAGACCTAGGATCTTAATTTTACAGCGTGTCATTTCTTTGCTTAGTTGTGCCAAACGGGATGCCTGTGCCAATGTCCGGATGTTCCAAGTGCCAATTCGTATACCTTTTTGATAGCTAAGGTTCATTTCCGTTGTATCCGTCCGATATCCGAGGCTCGTATTCGTTTCTCGAATCAGCTTGTTTCGGGTTTGCGGGTGATTGGCCCACAGAATCCTATCCAGCCGTCAGAGTTATACTGACTGTCGGTCGGCCGGAGCAACCGGTGATGGCCGTTTTTGTTATTATTTTTATTTAGGAATTCTAGCTGGATTTGAACTCGGGATCTTTGGCATAGGAGGCAAATACTTTGCCAGTGCGCTACGGCCACCACTAATCTGAAGCATACATTTTGAAATTAACGCTTCAGATTGCTGTTGTAGCAAGTTTGCAATTGGCTTGCATCTAATATATAAAGCCAACTTTATTTGTTATTTATTATAGTAGTAATATTTTAAGATAGTTATATTTAAATTAATTTTTTTTTGTTATTTTAAAGCTTTTAGCAACTTTAAGCTTTTTAAGCTCAGGTTCCTATCAGAGGAGAATTGGACAGGATTTTCTAAGCTGTATGTGTCAATCATCCGTTAGTGGAGCAGTACATCAAATTGTATATGCATTAAATGCTATAATGCCACAATGGATAATATTCCCTACAGAACATAATGAGATCCAAACTATTCAGCAAACGTAAGTTATAAAAAATACAATTTCATAATTATCTTAGAAGTATACCAATTTTAATGTAAGTGCATTTAAAACTTATAATAAATACATATAATATAATTTTTGCTATGTGTAAAATTAAAATGCAATCGTATTTCACCATGTATTTTGTTCACACAAATTTTCCGGGTGTCATAGGTGCGATTGATGGAACACATGTAGCCATTTGGCCACCTGATAAAAACAGAGAACACTTATACATAAACAGGAAATTGTATCATTCTTTAAATGTTATGATTGTGAGTAAAAAATATTAAATAATATGTGAATATATGTATTTACGTAATTATATATCATACGAAATAAAAGAGAATTTATTATTTTTTCATGGTATTCTTATGAATGCACATATTTTTTATATATTTATTTTTCTTATTACTTATTTTAGGTTTGTGATTATCATTGTAAAATTTTAGCTGTAGTTGCAAACCATGGTGGCCGTACGCACGATGCAAGAGTATGGAACTCGTCTCAATTGTCGAGACACATGTTAAATAAATATGAATACGGAAGACGAAATGTCTGGTTTATTAGGTAATAAAATTCGATTAAAATATATTTAAAAAATGTTTTATGTAAGTCAAATTTGTACATACACGCACAGATATATAATTTGTGGAACTGCTCTTGTTACTAAAACATGTCGTAATTAATTGTGTTTTTAGGAGATTCTGGCGGTATCCCTTATTACCATATCTAATGACACCTAAACTGAATCAGCCAGCAGGATCTCCAAGTGCTTCTTATACAGATTGTCATGCTACAGCACGATGTTCAATAGAAAGGACAATAGGCATATGGAAGGGACGGTGGAGATGTTTACGCAAAGAAAGGGCATTACATTTTACACCAGAATTTGCTGGTAAGATGTAATTAACACACAATAACAGTTTATAAAAAAATATACTCAAATTATTATAGAATTTTGTTAATTTGTTATTATATGTGTGTGTGTGTGTGTGTGTGTGTGTGTGTGTGTTTTAGCACTTATAATAAATGCGACATGCGTATTACATAATATTGCTAAGCAATATAACGTTCCTGAAGAAATATATTTAGAAGAAGAAGATTTTCCTGAAGAAGGAATTGAGGCAGAAAATGCAAATATGCGTGCAAGAGGACATGCGACACGTGAAGCAATAATTGAAAGATATTTTGCATAACTAAATTAGTTTATAATATTAATTCTTTTATTTAAGACAAAAATAAATTTTTCTTTACATTACGAATAAATTTTATAAACAAAACAAAATAAACTTTTCTACATTATTCGTATTGCACAAAACCTGTAAATTTAAAACTTATAAATTAAATTATGTTAATATTTTTTATATTAGAAATCCGTTCAGTGTCTGTAAACTTAATTTTATTTCTTTTAATTCTGTTAGGATATTTTTTGCATCTTTAGTTGTTTTCTTCTAATTCTTAATTCTTTTTTCTTTAATTCTAATTTAGCTTCTTGAATTTCTAGCATATTGTATGATAATTGATGCACAGACTTGCCTGCTGTTAAAAAATTTTAATTTAAAAAAAAAATTATAATTACATACATAATAGGCTTTCCATTCAAAATTACCTTTTCATGTATTCTTTTCCTGTACTACTGTTTGATTCTTTCTACTATGTTGCCTTATATTAACATTTGTTGATACATTTTCTGTTTCATCTATTTCTATTTCTGAGCATTGTATGTTCTGTTCTTGCATTGTATTTTGATAATTACATTCTTGTAAAGGTTGTACTTCTTCTACAATATTTATTAGTCCTCCTTCTGGGATGTTTTCCAATCCGGCTGCTTCTAGCGTCAACAACTGTAATACATCTTCTTCAAAACTAGAAAAAGGTACTTTAGAAGGCGGTCCACCACCTGTTCCTTGTACATAACTCCGTCTTTTTGCTTCTTTTTTAAAAATATATGCCTTAATATCTTTCCATGTCTGCAAAATTACAGATATAATCAAAAATTATTCTTTTTTTTTTTAAACTTTAATTCATCTTGTATATTAAAAAACTAAATATATAATAGAAATGTATGTCTTTAACCTTTGCCCATTCTTGTCCAGTTTTTTGAGGACCTTCGTTACTTTTATTAATATTTTCGGCTATCACATTCCACATATCCTTCTGAAAATGTTCATATATTATTTGTTAAATAAAATTTTATTTTTATGACATTCTGATATGAAAACAGTAAAATTATAAGACAAAATTTTGCATAAGATTTGTGATCAATTTAACTTACTAATGTTTAACTTACTAATTTTCGTTTACTTTCTCCTTTTCGGTCTATGCGACCCCTAACTAATTCTGTATTCTCTTTTAATAGATTTAATAATATTTCTTTTTGTTTTACTGTTACGTTCATTTTTGTAATTTATTATGTTTATCATACCATATATTCTTATCCTTTTCAAATATCCAGATGTCGCATCATAATAATACTAGTATTATCCTAGTAATTTCTTTATGGATGTGGTGACATGTTTAGTGATTTTACTTTTCACATTTTCCTTCATACATGGGCTGTCTTCCCATAGTCCCTTTGCCAGTCAGTAAAATAATATTACTAGGATGACGTCATCTTACTGACTGGAGAAGTGTTCCCATTCTCGCCAGTAAAAAGTGATGTCAGGATTTATTGCGTTTCTATGAAGGTTCGTACAAAGAGGATAAAGAACAAGGAATGGAGATGAAGACGTGATGAAGACAAGGATACACGAGGACTTTCTGGATAAGAAAATGCTTAAGGCAGAATTATATGAAATGCAGATTTAGTTTTAGATATAGATTTAAAAGAGGAAAAAGCTGCGAGGAATATGGAACAAGAATTGAAAAGGAAAGAAATGTGAGGCAAGGTAATGAGCCAGGAATATATAAGAATGAATAGAAAGGAAATTCTGTGTAAGTTGTTAGGCGAAGTAAAGAAATTATAAAGAAAGCGTGAGTAAAAGGTATATATAGATAAGTTGATTGATAGAGTGAGACGTAGGATAATGTATAGGTATGAATATAGATTTTTTGTTACGGATTTAAAAGAGAAAGAAGAGTTGCGAGGAATAGAATGTGTAAAAGGTTTGTTTAGATAAGTTGATTGATTGATCGAGCGAGGTGTAGGAGTATGAGTGAGTTGATTGTCTGAAATGATGAATTAAGAAGATAATAGGTAATAGAGAAAAGTATAATGCAAATAGATGAATGGAGGTTAGTCGAGTAAATTAGAATAAAATTTGTTGCGTTTCTATGCTCTACGCTTTCTACAGTTTTCGTTTCATATTACAGTTTCATTTCATATTTTCGTCATCAGTGATCTTCATTGAATAGATAAGTAAATAATATATATTCCATGTAGCAATGTTTACTTGCAACTCTGTAATATTTCGGTACCCTTAAAATAATTGACCCCGGCGACTAAAGAGGTTAGACAACGATTTCGTTCCGGTACCCAAATATTACAGAGTTGCAAGTAAACATTGCTACATGGAATATATATTATTTACTTACCTATTCAATGAAGATCACTGATGACGAAAATATGAAATGAAACTGTAATATGAAACGAAAACTGTAGAAAGCGTAAGGCATAGAAACGCAACAAATCCTGACGTCACTTTTTACTGGCGAGAATGGGAACACTTCTCCAGTCAGTAGGATGACGTCATCCTAGTAATATTATTTTACTGACTGGTAAAGGGACTATGGGAAGACAGCCATGATCGCTCGGAAAAGTTCACGTGGAATCTGAGTGAGCGGAATTGTGAAAAGTGAAACTTTCCGCGTGAAATTACATGATCGCTAGAGCGGCGCAGCGGTGAAGCGGCGAGCGATAGCCAATGAGAGCCATGCTTTTATGTAAAAGCACCGCTTCACCGCTGCGCCGCTCTGGTCTGTAGGCTCCTTAAAACTCATCTATTCGCCGTGTCGAGCAGTGTGACACTGTCATGTGTCGTTGCTGGAACGCTTAAAACCGAAAACTGTGTAACACAGTGACCTAGTTTCCACCGAAACCCTCAATTCGGTTTCACTACGGTATAGATCAAACTTGGTGTACTGTTTCCATTGGAAGTAGAAGCAGAGAGAAACCTGAGAGAGGCCATGGCGGCCTTTTTCGCGTGACAGGCGAAGCCGCCGTACGCTAGCGGCACCAACATCATTTTTATAAAATGATGTGAACTACGTAACACATTTTCGACACTGTCGATA